CATGGCAGTCTTCGGATTCGCTGATCTTCACAGCCTATGAGCGGGAGCCCTGCTCTCTGACCTGCCCATCTTGGGTTCACCAGCCTCTGCAGCTACGTGAATCGGGAGAAGCCTCTATCCTGATCCACGGACTTGGGACGTGTCAGCCTCTACAATCACATGAGCCATTTCCTTGATATAAATCTATATATGTATTTATACACTTTACTAGTTTTGCTTCTCTAGAGAACCCAGCCTAAGACACTGTCTTAGAAATTTTGTCATAAAATAAAGGTGACTTCACATCAATGGGAAAAAGATAAATGAAGATTATTTAACAATCCACTAGCCTGACACCAGAAGAACTAGACAGTGCCTGGCTACCACTACTAACAACTCTGATCAGGATCACAATAGAAGGTCCTGGACAGAGAGAAACATGTAGAACAAAATTCAAATTCATAAAAAAGACCAGACTTACTGGTCTGATAGAGACTGGTGGAGCCCCTGAGACTATGGCCCTTAGACACCCTTCAGATCTGGAACTGAACCCACTCCCTGAGATCATCTCTCAGCCAAACAACAGACAGGCCTATAAAGTGAACAGTAACACCCGTGAGGAATGTGCTCCTCAGAACAATCAACTGTACGAGACCAAAAGGGCACCATTTGCCCAAAAACAAAGTTCAGAGGGCAGGAAAGGGCAGGAAAGATGGGCAAATGGAAATGGAGAACCCAGGGAGGAAGGGGGTAGAGTGCTGTCCCATTGAGGGGACTGCAACTGTCATGAAACAAATGTGTATAAATTGTTGAATAGGAAACTAATTTACTCTGTAAACTTTCACCCAAACCACAATACAATGTTAAAAAATATACAGATTTAATAAATTGTATAAGGAAAACTGGAATTACAAAAATCTGGACTGCTACTCTATTCCTTGCACCAAAATAAACTCCAGATAACAATGAAACCATAAAAGAAATAATAAAAACATGAGAAAAAATTTTTTGTAATCTCAGGATGGGGAAGATCTTTTGAAACTATAAAGAAAACCCAGAAGCCATAAAGTTAGATAGATATGATCATTTAAAACTTAAAATTTACACATGGTACAACTATTGGTCTCTTCCAGTCCAGAGCAAAGGAGAGGAAAAAAACTAAAGACTCAAAGGAGCAATGAGTCGAAAGGACAAATGGACCACATGAACCACAGTCTACACGGCCAAGTGCCCAGAACTAGATGGTGCCCGCTACAGCTGCTGACTGCTCTGATGGGGATGACAACAGAGGATCCCGGACAGAGCGGGAGAAAAATGCAGAGAAAAATGCAGAACAAAAGATCAAATTCACAAAAAAAGACCGGACTTACTGCTCTGACAGAGACTGGAGGAACCTCTAAGACTATGGCCCCTGGACACCCTCCTAACTCAGAATTGAAGCTGCTCCCAAAGTTCACTTTTCAAAGATTAGGCAGGCCCTTAAAACAAATGGAGCCCTGGTCGCGTAGTGGTTAAGATCTATGGCTGCTAACCAAAAGGTCAGAAGTTAGAATCCACCAGCCACTCCTTGGAAACCCTATGGGGCAGTTCTACTCTGTCCTTATAGGGTTGCTATGAGTCAGAATCGACTGGATGGCAACGGGTTTGGTTTGGTTTTTGGTTATAAAACAAAGAATAACACACGTGAGGAATGTCCTTCTTAGATCAATCAAGTACAGGAGACCAAATGGGCAACATCTGCCCAAAAGCAAAGACAAGAAGGCAGGAAGGGAGAGTAAAACAGGACAAATGGACACAGGGAACCCAGCATGGGAAGGGAAAGGGGGAGAGTCCTGACACATTGCGGGATTGCAACCAATGTCACAAAATAATGTGTATAAATTTTTGAATGACAAACTAATTTGTTCCGTAAACTTTCATCTAAACCACAAAATAGATATATAAAAGCAAAAAAAAAAAAAATTTACACATGGCAAATTCCACAAAAACCAAAGAAATGACAACATGATAGAAAAAGAGAAATTTCCATAATATAAAAGATATTTACTAATCAAGAGAATACAGACAAAAATGCAATAGGAAGATGGGCAAAGAGACAATTCTCAGGGAAAAAAAACACAAAGTGTCATTAAATATACGGTAAGATGCTAAACTTAACTCACAATACAAAATAAAACCACATGATAAAGCTTTTCGCCTATCAGATTGCCAAAGATAAAAACGTTGGTAGGGTATAGGGAAATAAGCAATTATACTGCTATAGTATGAGTATAAATTGGTAAAATCTACTTGGATGGCAATTTAGCATCCACTCTGAATGTACATACTCTTTGATTTAGTAATTTTCGCTCTAGGAGCACATTCCTTAGATTTATACTCACACAGAGGTGTATCTCCAGCATGGTTCACAGCAGCAAAAGACTGGAAATAGCTTACTGCCCAGAATTAAGGGTCTGAAGTTAACTGTGGTACTCCATACAATGGAATGGTACTGCAGCTATAAGAGGAAGCAGCAGCTCCAGATCTACTTATATGAACAATCTCTACAAGATTAACAGAAAATCCAAAGGTGCAGAAGAAAAGCATATGTATTTATGGAAAAAGGGGGCTGGGTTGGTGGGTGAATATACTCATACACTCATGTGCGCTAGAACAGTGATTACTGAAGAGTGGATCCCCGACAAGCAGCACCACTACCACCTGGGAATTTGTAAGAAATACAAACTATTGGGCCCCACCCACACCTACTGAATCAGAAACTCTGGTGGTAGGGCCCAGCAATCTGTGTTTTAATATGCCTTCCAGGTGATTCTGAAGCATGCTCAAGTTTGAGAACCACTGCGGTAGAGTATCTTTAAGGATACACAGAAAACGAGTACAGTCATTAGCTGTGGGGAGAAGTAGGAGATGACTCTTCTTACTTTGGTACGTCTGGAACATTTTAACCATGCACATGTATTGCCACTTTAAAATAAAATTAAAAAATTTAACGTAGCAAAATCTGCCACTTTGATCCAAAGTGGATAACAAATGACCTCAGTGCTTCCGAAAAACTGAATAATGAGTTTGGTTTACAGCACGATTCTTAAGAGAAAAAACGACAACCTATTTCAGACCAAGATTTAAATGCAGAAGATGAAGCATGTCTGTAAATGGCGATGTAAGATTTGGTATAGCAGAGTCTAAGTCTGGTGATAATGAACGTGTTATTTATTAAGCTGAGGTTTTAAAAAGGAGGAAAACCTTCACACTTCTTACTGAATGAGGCAGATTACCCTTATATTGAGTACCAATAATTAAAAACGCAGAATAAAGGCAAAGACAAGGAGAAAAATCGAATTTTTTTTTTTAAAAAAAGCACAAAAACCCTACATACTAAAATTATACACATCAAGTATTGGTCCAATCTCACATCAATCTATTTATAATTAAACAGCACCATGGTTTTCTCACCTAGGTTCGTTAAACATGCCTGGAGAATTTATTATTCAAAGTATATGTTCCTTTAAAATAAAATAAACTCTTAAGACAGCTCAAATCCTCAACAAACAAAAAGGACATTTTACCAACTATAGATTATTGATGACATCACCAAATTTACTTAAGAAAAATAAGTCTGAACATTTTTTTTCCAGTTGATAAACTTTGAGATGTTGCTGTTCAATGTGGCACACAAATGAACAAAAGAACTTTGTGATGACAGAGGCATTTTATTTAGATACCCTTATACTTTCCCCTCTGAATGTAAAAATTCTCCTTTGGAATTAATGCTGCTGTCTTCTCTTGAATTTAAACTCAGTCATCAACAAACCTAAGTCAGATGTAGCCACAATCTTAAAAATGATTGCATAAAAAAAGGGAAATAGTTAAAGCTCTTAGAAACATGATAAGTTATAATTATAGATATATCTAATCAGGCTATAGGAAATTTAATATCATTTTAAATATTACATTTAAACTAATTAGCACTTTCATTTTGCCATTAAAATTAATAATGGTGCTTCACATCCAAAGAGGTGTGGAAGTCTGACACTGTCCCACTGAGAACAGCAGAAGTACCTTCTTGCCTCTACTCTTCCATTTCATGGATTCTCGGGGGTAAAATGATCACGTTAGCCCCTTCTCACGTATGGTACCAACTTTTTTTAAAAAAAAGACTCCAACTTAAACATAATTCTCAGCAGCTTTACTCCCTGCCACAGTAGAGAAGAATGAGGTTACCTCACAGAGTTTCTCAGTCCCCTAATCCAATTTGCAGATGGTTCTTAATTTACCTCTTTGCTAGGAAAGATGAGAGAGGGAAATTGTCATCCACCATGACTAGAGGTTCACAGTGAACTGAAAAGCACTAAGGTATAAAGCAATGTTTCATCATTTGGTCTCACTGCTGATGTTTAAGTGACCTCAGTAAACCTTTTACACTTGTAAATTTTGAGTTGAAATTTTCTCTAAAAGACTGAAAATAGGCACAATTCTCTCAGGCATAGATTGAATGGGTTTTCCTTACACCCTTTCTGCAAACTGGGGGAGAAGAGATAGTACTTTATTATTCTCTAGTGAAAACAGCTGTACTTGATTCATTATGTTTCCTGGCCCAGGAACTAGGCATTTGGGGGCACAGTTAGCTATGAAAAATTTTAAGCAGAGTAGGTAGATTAATGAAGGTATTATATAGTAGTGATCTTCTAAGCCTGGATATGAAAACAGCTTTGTTATATAGACATTTCAAAATACTCATGCATCAAGAAGATGAGAGATGTTTCAACTGAGTATCAGTTGAAAATCAGAGATCTGACTGCATTGACTAAATTATTGCCTAGTGTTCCAGAAGGGTGGCTGCCATCGACAGGATGGAAGGCACCAAAATTTAGTGTGAGTGTAAAAAAGGAGCTCAACATATGGGGATGGGAAAAGCAACACTGAAACACAATTCGCCAGTCTGTACTCGTTCATGGCTAAATAGTAATTAAAACAGAATAGAAGCACATCTCTGCTCTTTGTTTCAATAAAAAAAGCTCAAATTTGTAACTATCATCAATGATTTCTGGAAATTGTATAATTTATTAAAAAAAATATTTTGTATTCAAAAGGTGCTAGGTGCTGTTCTTAATGATGCAATGTTGTGTTTACAGTCCAAATCATTTCAATACAACCATTATACAGGGTTGGATGTTTTAAAATAAATGGCTATCTTATTTCTTAACTGCCTCTCAAATTAGAAATTGTAATTACATGAGTCTCAAAGGCTGGCTCTTTGTGTTTTATTAATTATTTTTGTTGGTCTCCATCACAGATGGAAATTTTCACTGGTCATTCCTCAGAACTAAATCCATTCATAGGAAATTCGGAGCAGTGAAAATAAATTTCACCCCATAGGGTAGGAAACAACAACATTAACAATCATAAAAAGGAATGGGAGGGGTTGAAGGACCAGCCAACAGGACCAGTTCAGTTCTCAACTGGTGTTGGGTTCTGCAAAGGTTGGCTCACTATAACCTGTACAACATAGTCCTTTGGGATCTTTAGCTCTTCCAACTTCATTTTGTCGGTGAGAGGTCTGCCAGAAAAGAACCAACGCTGACTACTCGGTTCTACTCCTTCTGCTGCGTGTAACCGCCTCTTCATGTGGAATACTGTGTCTGTACTGCGGACCACCAGTTTGAGGTCTTTGCCTGTGGAAAGGCGCAAACGGAGCTGACATTCATAACCAGAATTGGGGGGTGGCTCAGGAATATCCAGAGTCTCTATGTCGCTCTTTTCTTCTATCATGTTGATTGGTGGTGCCAAACAATAGACTGGAAGCTGATATCTGTTTCCCAGTTCATCATAGCACTCTGTAAGTGCACCTTCAGAAAGAGAGAGATACAAATAAGAGTTTAAATCTAAACAAAGGCAGTCATTTCCATCTTGCAAACTGCTTAAGCCTCTCTTGCTAGTACGCCATTGTAGAGAAAAAATATATAAAGTAATGCCAATCATTGTTAGCTGATCGTCAAGGCTCATGTCCCATTATTTGAGTATTTATCTAATTTTAAGTTAACTAGGACCCTAGCTCCTTTCCCCTTAGTCTCGCCCCTTTCTAACTCATTTTATAGCTAATTCACACTTTCTTTAAAAAATAATCACAGGAAATAAAAGCACACAGAATTCAAATTTACTAATATTATTAATGCTTGGATGGTGCAGGACTGGGCAGCGTTTTGTTCTGTTGTACATAGGATCGCACCTAACAACAACATTTAACGCTTAGATCAGATCAAAGGGATATCTTTTAAAGAAACGAATCAGCTACCTTTGGGAAAAAAAGGCAAAAAAAATGAATTCCTAAGCCCAATTCACAATAATAGTACGTTCCAGAGCAGTCTTCTTAGTGCCTGGACTTCCTACATTGAAGTACTTGGCCAGAGTTCCTTAGTCCAAAGAGACCACAACCTAGGAATGACAAGCTTACCAGCTGCCTCAGACTCACGGCTTATGCATGAATCTCATCAGCACAATGACCACAGAAGTGACTGAGGTGTTTTATTTACCGCATTTAATCCATCTGTTACAGAGAAGCTATGGGTTAAAAAGGAAGAACAAAAGAGGTATGAAGTTTATAACCAGCTAGCTCAGGGAAGGGAAAGAAAGCATTTGTGGTTTAAAAGAAAAAAAAAAAAAAAAGTATCAATGGCTTATTTAAAAAAAAATTTTTTTATTGTGCTTTAGGGTGAAAGTTTAAAGTGCAAATTAGTTTCTCATTCAAAAATTAATACACAAATTGCTTTGTGACACTGGCTGCAATCCCCACAATGTGTTAGCACTCTCCCCCCACTTTCCACCCCGTGTTCCCTGTATCCATTCATCCAGTTTTCCTGTCCCTTCCTGCCTTCTCATCGTTGCTTTTGGGCAGGTGTTGCCCATTTGGTCTTGTATACTTGAATTAAGGAATTAATTAATTGAGGAATTAAGAAGCGCATTCCTCACGTTACTGTTTGTTTCATGTTGCTCTTATGTGCCTTCGAGTCGCTTTCGACCCACAGGGACCCTATAGGATACAGCAGAACTGCCCATAGGGATTCCAAGGAGTGGCCGGTGGATTCGAACTGCAGACCTTTTGGTTAGCAGCCAAGCTCTTAACTACAGGCCTGTCTAATCTTTGGCTGAAAGGTGGACTTTGAAAGTGGCTTCAGTTCTGAGTTAGCAGGGTGTCCAGGGGCCATAGTTTCAGGGGTTCCTCTAGTCTCTGTCACACCAGTAAGTCTGGTCTTCTTTTGTGAATTTGAATTTTGTTCTACATTTTTCTCCCGCTCTGTCGGGAACGTCTATTGTGATCCCCGTCAGAGTGGTCTGTGGTGGTAGCTGGGCACCATCTAGTTCTTCTGGGCTCAGGCTGGTGGAGACTGCGTTTCATTAGTCCTTTGGTTGGGCTAATATCTTCCTTGTGTCTTTGGTTTTCTTCATTCTCTGCTGTGCTAATTTCTTTATAAAGCATAAACAATGCATTATAATTACCAGGACCTCCCTTGGGGCACTTGAAAGAATACTTATGTTTCATTTTAATGTTATTCATAGCATGTCCTTTGCTTAAACTGGAACATTAGTGTCAGCTGATTATCAATTTGGATAAAAAACAAAAACATCTACCATATTCAAAACACTCATAAACAGAGTAGTGAATATGGGGAGTGGGACATTGACAAGTGGTCATCAATTAACAGATGAGTTCATGAACCCATTTTTGTGGTTACTCTGTTAGCCCTCGCAAATGAACGGACTATGCTGTGATGAACAAAGTCGATTGAGTTGCCGGAGATTAAGGTATAACACTCAGTCACTTATCACTGGTAAGCCTATTCATTAATCAATAGGGTGAAAATATGAAGCATCTGAAAACGAGACTGGAACGTCACCAATCCACAGTGGGTTTGACTGGGTCTGCTTTCTAAGTTACATCAGATGGGCTTGGTTGTAGCTCAGTCATCAAGCTTGACGCACATGAATCTTCCCTCCCTCACCTCAGATACTGAAAGATACTGTTTTGGCCTTTGTGTTGTTCACTAATGAATGTGAACATTGCTATGACATTGTAGAAATGATCTACTTCAAGCACAGCTGTGATCACTAGCAGTCCCCTATACCAGTAACCACCACACTATAGTACCAATGTATTTATAAATACGGACAGAGTCTGTTGTGTAAGCTTGTTTATATATAGCTGACACAAAAAAGCCTACCAGTGCCTTTCAGATGGGCTGGCTATCAGGAGAACAAGGGAAAAGAAAGAGGAGAGCTCACTACAGACCTATCACTTCTGTTAGGGAAATATCTTCAGACACATACCCCACTGATATTGGGGGATTAAGTAGCATCAGCCTTATTTTTATGGGTATAATAATATATTTACATGATTGTTCTGTGAGAAAACATTCCCAATTATTACCTTTGGAATCAGATCACCAAGATGAAATTCCCAGCCTTGTTACTAACTAGCTGTGCAAACCTGAATATTCTGTAACTTGAAATTGTTTTCTCGAACAGCAAAATGAGGTAGGCTAAACTGCTAAATAGTAGTTTCCAGGTTTATGCCTGCTTCCTCATCTTCATGCACTATGGCAGATGTAAAATAGGAGGACTATAAACTGAAGCAGTCATACTGCAGGGAGAATGATGTCTTGACTGAAAAACAGCCTGCATTTTTAACTTCCCTGGAAACTAGGGCTAGAGATGCCATCACAGGCTCTTGGCACATTGTATAGTGCCACAAGGAGCCCTGGTGGCTCGATGGTTAAGCACTCAGCTGCTAACAGAAAGGGTGGTGGTTCAAATCCATCCAGCAGCATCGCAGGAGAAAAGAAAGACCTGGAGATCTGCTCCAGTAAAGATTACAGCCTAGAAAACTCTATGAGGCAGTTCTACTCTGTCTCATTGGGTCATTATGAGTTGAAAACTGACTCGATGACACCTAACACCACCACCACCACCACCAATACGGTGCCACAACAGTAGTGCACACCCATCTCAAAACAAATATTCACTCTAATAGACTGTTGGCTCTTCCTAGATCTGAACAGTCACTCCTCCATCACAATGGAAAGAACTGCGTCTTTTCCCTTCTGCCCTTCAGTCCAGCGAAGTCAGGATTCAGTTTTCAAATCGCCAATGGGAGAGAACAAAAATGCCATTGAAGGGTACAGCTAGTCTCCAGTTCATGATACTGAATTGAAATTAACTACCCGGATTCTTCATTACTTCGAAGCTCCATATTTTAATATTTTTTAGAAAAGGTAACTTGTTTTTTATTTAAGTTTTCTGGCTCATCTACTTTTTTGCTCACTTAACTTCTGCTAAATTGTAATCTGAGTTATACATGCAGATGATGAAGTAAAATATGATTTAATTTTATTTTAAGGCTAGTTTTATTCTCTCTCCCAAATTAAATACCTGGGATAATAAAGTACAGGAATACCTCAGAGATACTGTGGCTTCAGTTCCAGACCACTGCAATATAAGTGAGTATTGCAATAAAGA